TATAGTTACGGTACGTTAGAAGCATTAGATTCCTATAGTTGTGCAAGGGGACTTAATACACAACTATAGGAACCTAACAAGGGGACTTAATACACAACTATAGGAACCTAACGTTTCTAACGTACCGCAACTATAAGAGCGTTTCCCCTATACAAATTTAAGACAAGCTCCATTTTCACGTCCATGACTGTTTGAAATCAAAAACGAAGGAAATTTCAAATCCTGCTATCAATACAAACTGATATTTGTACAAAATTTAAAACAAATATACTTGAACATACAGTGCTTTCCCGATTCCCGAACAGCCAAACCTGTATTGAAGTTGGCACGGGGTGGTATCCACTAGTTGCCTAGTGTAGCTCCACTACAGACCATTCCTTACTCTCTCCTCTGCCTGGATCCCCCTGGGACTACGCTGAAGCGACTACTTCGAGGGGGCTGGCACTTCTCATACTCTCAGTGCTAGCTGGCGTTCCTAGATCGCGGCTCCTCTATCCATTCCAAGTGCCTTTCTCTGGACACATTTCATCGACGGTATTCTCCACGTCGAAGGCCACATGCTCCAGCGTTTCATCCACGTTGCCACACTCCGGACAGAGGTGTTAGCCTCTAGACTAACTCGGGGAAAATCTAAGGGTCGCCTACGGAACTAAATATCACACTCACATCTACCACCTGTTTGCAGTAGGAACGTATATTTTGTTTAAAGGTGATAAATAACCACAAACGATGCGCCTAAAAGAGAATAACACAACACACATCGAAAGCTCAAAAGCCAATGAGGTTAATATTTCTGAAATATGAACTCCCGGACGACGCCTGAAGACCCCTTTCGGGCCCGGGAAAAATGGGGACAAACGAAAAGGTGGTGGAATAAATTTAAAGGGCTTCGCTCTCTAATAAAATAACCTCCTTTTATAACATTTTAGTTATTTTTATTTTACTCTAGGGTGACGTCACATGTACTTGCACTGGGTACTAGCGGTTTTCTGGTAGGTGGGTAGGTCGACTTTCATAGCAGGATCAACTATGATTCGTCGATAGCGACCAGCATGACATCGCTGACATTTCCGCGTTGTTTCTGCTGTCTCGAATGCTGGTCGGAGCTGATGATGAGGTCGTCGTTGAATCTGCGATTATGTTGTAATCGCCGATAGGAGCACCGGTGGCAACTTGGATCAATCAGCGCAATCAACCGTTCGGATCGCCGGTAGTGAAGCGGTGAGGCTGTCCGATCGGTTACCCTGATGAAAAAGCCGACGTCGAATCGTTGTTGCTATGTTGAGGAGGCCACTACGTGCTTATTACCAACAAGATGGCGGTCCTTCGTCCATTCTCGAGGAGTGGCCTTTTGATCGTATAGATAGCAATGGCGGATATTCTGTTCCACGCTGATTCTTCCAAGAATGTTTGATGAGGATAGTGGACCTGGACTCAGATGGGGTTTTCTGTCCGTGAAGAAAACGATATTTATACCACTGGCTAACGTGGATCGCTTGGCTGGTATCGGTTACTAGAGTGGCGACTAGTCTGAACGCTCGCCGAATGGTCCGGTACCACTATCCTTGGCTCCTCTTGGCTCTTTATGGGAAGAGAATTTCGGAACTTGTCCGAACAATAGGAAAAAATAGGTTGTTCGCGCAGGAAACAAAATAGAAAAAAAAAGGTTTCGAATGACAAATCTGGGCGTTCAACCAAAATATAACCATTATTTCCGATATTGCTAGGATGCGCATTTTTGGTGCCACTCCAGTCGTCTCGATCTTTTACCAAAATGACTCTTTTCAACATACACAAATCAATGTAACTAAAACTGTATAAAAGGAAAACGCATTTCAATGAACAGAAGATTCTTATTCTGAAGCCCGACCTGACTCACCAGTCGGCTCATCGAAAGACTTCACAAAATAGCGACCCTACGGTTCTCCCAGCTAGGCTTCGCTAAAGTTGAGAAGTCCCGTAGGTGATCCAGTATGTGCGCGCGTCAAATCTTTTACTCGGTATAATAGTCCAACGTACGCGCGTGCCAAATCGAATGATATCAAAAGATATCAAATGAGGCAGCCGTGGACAGACAGGAACTGCGTCCGGTGGTGGTTGATTTCTCCGTGTTTTCTGTTCACCTAGGTCGAAAGAATCGGTAATAACCGAAGTCGGTCATCGATCATCACTCCCAGGTATTTCAACACGCCCTTCGAGGCAAAAGCGTGCGTTGGACCAAAGATGGAACCTTGTGGAACTCCCGTTGTGATTCTAATCGATCTCTGTCCCATATCTGTCTCGTAGACCAGAACCAGGCTCTGGAAGTAACTCCTGAGAATCCTGCATAGGTAGTCAGGGACCCTCATTCTATGCAGCGCTTTGGCAATGGCTTTTCAGCTGTGCTGTTGAACGCATTCTTATCACGACGCAATATCGATCTCCTCTTCGCTTCTGTTTGGACGCCTTCTCGGCTCTCTCGACCATTGTCCGAATTGCATCCACCGTTGATCTCCCTTTCCGGAATCCAAACTGCCTCTCCGACAATCCAAAACAAAAGCTGATAGGGCTGATTAGGTTGAAGCATTGTCCCTTTCAATTGACGATGTTATTTATCTCCGTTGAATTTGAGAATTTGCGATGGCGAAATCTCTTGAAAATTGAAAGTCAATCAAAACTTTTATGTACAATTCAATGAAATATGTAATGCTCTTTTTTTATTTTCTAAGAATAAATGTTGCTGACAATGAAGCAATGTTTTTTACAACTGCAAAAAAAACAGGTTTTCCATGGTAAAAATTACTTTTCAAGCAAACAGCAATTCAAAACTAATAATTCCTAGTAGGAGTATATTATATTAATGTAAATGAATTGAAATGTAAAAGGTACATTGCATGACAGACCTGTGCGTTGAATTGATTGATATTTGAATGAAAAAGCACTTAAAATCGTCAATTTTTATTTTACCCCGTATGTACATTTTACCCCCGCTTCCCCTAACATTCACATTACAGCGAAGTGTAAGAATAACAAATATTCGTAGCGTAGAGTTTGAGAATCCATGTTTAAAAACTCAAAAATTTTGTGAATCTGCAGGCTGATAAAATCGGGGAAAAAAAGCTGACAAAATCGGAGGTAGACAAAATCAGGAAAGCACTGTATGCCCATTTTACCCATTGAAAATTACATGAGTGACAGTTATTCTGAATCACCCTGTGTGTTGCAAAGTACATGCTATAATTAATTGAAAGTTAAATGTCTGGATTAGTCCGTTCCTTTATTCCGATCATTACGGTTTTGACTAATTAGGAAAACAATCTGGAATTTTTCCTAAATTTTTAACAAAATAGTTTTTTTTATGCTACATAATGCATTATACTAATACTTTTTTACTCTGGATGTGAACATTTTTTAAGACGTAGATCATGGAAAAACTTTAAATTTAACACTAGTTTTCAATGACATTAAACCCGCTCACACAATTTTTTCATTAAATCATGATATCGATATCGAAAATTGCTCCACTCAGAATATTCCGTCGCTTTTAATGAGTGAATGAAATCATAATGCGATATGCCATGATTGTTCGTCGGTCGGTTTTATTTTTTGTTAGTTGCATTTCAATTGACCGTTTATACAACGCCAGCATATTGCCCACAGTTGTTCGGAGCCGATCGAAAATGTCACTTCTTCTTTTCGACTCATAACGTTTCAACTGGAACTAATACCAGCCCACAATATAGGGAACTTTTTTATGACCAGTCGCTTATGCGCTAGCGGCCATCTGGGGCTCCCCACGAAATTGACACTATTGAATGTGAATAAGTGGGATGGGTTTGAGTTGTGGTATCCATCAATCCAGTTGCATCGCGAACGAGAATGCAATACTAATTTGATCAGTTGACGACACGGTGGGTTCGAAAGGGTGAATCTTTTGATCAGTTATAGCGAATTCGTTTATTATCGGAGTTGGAACCAGTGCCAATCCGGTGTGAAACCGAATATTTTGCCAATGCGAACCTCAACCTGAGCTAGGTTTTGAAAACAAACTAGCAAACTGCCGTTTGTCAAAAAACAAGCAGACCCTATCTTGATACCCGATCCAGGTTAGAACTGAATCAAAAACGAATTCGCTATTAGTGTGTGTACTAACGGGATGCGAATAATGGTTCCCTGATTGATATGATTATGTTTGGTAAATTTAACTTCTTATGTATTTCATCCTATTTTTGATCAAGTATTTCAAACATAGGATTCACCTTGATATGCGGCTATTTGCATTTTCGCTGCATCATGACCCCAAATTAACATACCCGCTTTTGTTGTGTTTACGATGGATTTTCCCCATAAGTTCATTGCATCCATCCATCGGGAAAGTGAACCGGTCAGTCACACAGAATCAGCTAGGGTCACGCGAATGCACCATTTGTTATGAATAGAGGCTATGCAGCTATATCCGCAAATGGAAAGAGATATCTTATGGAGTCCAATTGGTTGGTATTTGCCAATATCGCAAATCTAGATGTGCACTACCGCTAATGTAATTGATGCTATTTTCAGTTCTCCGGGCGGTTGTTTGTGGTGCTATTTTTGACTCTTTGCTTATTGCTTGCCTGACATGTACTTTTAATACATCTATTTTAGTGTGACAATATTGGTACAATTGAATCAAATTTACCCATAGCACGTTTTTTTTTTCGAAGCATAAAGTTGCCATCACGCGGAGGCCAATGGCCGATTAATGCATATAGCGTCTTCGGTTGACGGTTGAACACCAGTGAAGTGACCGCCAAAAACCATGTGGTGGTCACGCGTGTCGTATTCGTAAAAAAGTACAAGCACCACTCCAACACAGAATTGCTTAGTGCCACGCATTTTTAATCGATTCCGAAGGATTCTTTCGATTAACTTAGATGGTGGGGTGACAAAACTGCCTCTAGCAGTACCTACTCATATCGCATAGTTCTATAACTCGCCTTTTGGATGTTTACTATAAATATTGAGGGCGGCGTATATCACAGTATCAGTTCACTCAAGCATTGCATTCCTATAACAATCAGCTAGTCAAAAACTTACCAAACTTTCAAAATGTTTGCCAAGATCGTAAGATTCCTGCCATTTCAAAAAAGTTGATCATTTTCTACAACAAAAAAACAATCTCACAATTCCAGATCTTCGTTGCCGCCCTCGCCATCGTCGCCGTCAGTGCCAAGCCTGGAGTGATTGCGCCACTAGCCTACTCGGCTCCACTGGTCGCTGCCGGTCCAGCCGTGGTGACTGCCCAGAGCTCGCAGTACATTGCCCGCAACTACAATGGAATCGCTCCTCTGGCCTACACCGCTGCCTACACTGCTGGCGTTCCAGTTGCCTATGCTGGCCAAGCTGCCTATGCCGCTGCTCCACTTGCCTACTCCGCACCGCTGACTGCCTACAATGCCGCCTACAGTGCTCCTCTGCTGCTGTAAGCGGTGCATCGTAGTTATCTGGAAAATATGGTATCAAGTAACAAGCCTGCTTTGACGGATCTTTGTGATTGAGGTTGAATGTGATAAATAGTACAATCTTGAAAAAAAAGCAAGCTGTTGTTTTCATTTCTGGGTGATGCAGATGACATAATTGTATTGTAAAGCGTACGATGTAATAACTTCCTTGCGGGTAAACATTGCTTACAGTTCCTAAAATTCACGAGTTGTTCTCAGAAATGTTATTAGAAATCAGTGATTTGTTACGCTGACCTACTTCAATGTCCAGGTAATGAAGCTTTTGATTTGCTCGAGGGGGAAGACATTCTAATCTTTAGTCAATATTATTTAAAACTTTAGGAGGGATTGAAAAAGTTTAGAAAAATTAAGTCGGGATTATAAATGATTAGCGATATTTCAGCTTGACTGTCAAAAGGCGTGCTGATAGTAGATAACCTTAGGCTCACTCAGTATTTGTTTTGTTCTGATGATTTTCAGCCAACCAGTGCTGCCATGGTAAATTTAAAGCTGGTTACTCACTGGTTGTTCATATGTCCATCCTCACCCATCTCAAATTCATGCGTCCCTATCAGAAGTGCCCACTGCATATACACACAATTCCGGTCCTTCTAATTGACACTGGAATATGGGAAAACTTGTCGGCAACTAGCTGACCACAAAAATTTGAAATACGCACTACTGAAATATTAAGATTGCCATTTAAAAAATTGTTAAAAATTGTTTAAAAATTGGAGAAAAATAAGCGATATTCAAAAAATACTCTAAATTTCCTGGATTGCCAAGAAGTTTCTAAAGTTTCCGCAATTTTTCAGCGGATCATAAGACATCCCTTAAGGGAGATTTCCGGTTCAATTGACCTAAACTTTGGATTTTTTTTCCAGGGAACTGGTAAGAGTTAGAGACCTGAGTTTTTTGTCAAATCTTTATTCATTCTTGCTCTACAACTGGGAATTTTTTCAAGTCCAAAAATCCAAAATGGCGTCCAATATGGCGGCTGCCCGGCGGGTACTTCCCAAAACTGCGAGCAGCCTAGAGGTCGCAAATCTCAAAATTTGGCAAAATGGCGGGCATTTGAAAAAAAGTCATTTACCTAGTTACCGCCATTTTGTCAAATTTGAATGAATAAAGATTTGACAAAAAACTCAGGTCTCTAACTCTTACCAGTTCCCTGGAAAAAAAATCCAAAGTTTAGGTCAATTGAACCGGAAATCCCCCTTAAGATCCTTTAGTTTTCTTATTTTTTTCTGAACTGCCTTGAAGCTTAAGAAACTTTAAACTTTAATAACGACCACTAATTTTTTGTAACTTGCTCTAGAGTGAAGTCTTTTGAACTTTGCTAAAAATTTTTTGACTTCCTTGAATTCTTCGATATTTCTTAAATGTTTCGCAATTTTCCTAAAGTTAATGGAACTGCCATACTGTTTTTGATCATCCCGGAGGATACCGCAACTTTCCTGAAGTTATTGAAAATTTAATACTCACGGGACTACCTTTAAATACTTTGAAGCTGAAGTTTTCTCAATATTCCTAATATTCATGGGTCTGTCCCAAAGTTCCCACCATATTCTGGAATACTTATAAATTCATTTAAGCATGTATTCAGCACTTCCTTGCAGCTCTCGAAACTTCTGTAAAATATCTGCATTTTCCCTGATTAATAGAATTGGTCTGTAGTTCTTTGAAGTCCGAGACTTATGTGTAGTTCCTGCGATTCTCCTAAAGTTTATGGAACTGAACTTCTGTGAAATTCTTGAAATTTTTGCTGAATTTGTCTAAACTTCTCTGATATCTGAACTATCTGAAAAACTGGGAGTTTTTGCAATTTTCCCGAAGCTCTTGAAACTTTCCTGAAGTTCTCGAAGTTTTCTTAAAATGTTTAAAACTTCACATGAGTTCTATGAAGTTACAGAAGTTTTCTTAAAATTATCCTAATTTCACCGGAGTTCAATGGCCTTCCCATAATCATGCTTGGCATACACAGTTTCGGTCACGAACTGCTCATTTGCTAATAACTTTGCACACAGTTGACGGAACATAGTTCTTTTTGAAGCAGTAGTTAGAATAGAGTATAAGCTTGTTATAGATATGTAAAAAAAAGTAGATTTTAATGCTAGTATTAAACTGTATTTGTTTTTGCGGTGTAAAAATGAAGTGAGGAATGCTCACTACACATCTCGGAATTTAAGTGTTAAATTGATTTGTGTTGATTCAAATGTTAAGCTTTACCTAATCTTCGCATATCTATAGTAAACTATGAGCCTAATCTATCAATTACTTCAAAGAAAAATAAATTTCAACATCTGAGTGAAAAGTTATTACCAAATCAGCAGTTGGTGTGTTCAACTGTGCATGCCAAGCATGCCCATAATTTCCCGGATCTAAGGTTTCCGTAGTTTCCCTGAAGTTAAGTTAAATATTAGTTAAATATTAGCTCCTGCAAAACAAACAACAATGAAACTGGGACTCCACGTTTGCTGCAGGGCTACAAAAAGAGAGTTCCAACCTCATGAGCGATGTCGCAACAGTGTCCAAGATTTGTGCTTCAGAAGCCTCGAAGTAGTAGTGCATATAAGCCATCATGGCGACCATTTGTGGACTCTTGAAGAAATAACCTAAAAACCTTGAAAGGAAATAAATACAGTTTTAAGATTATTTTTTTAAGTTCATGAAACATCACTTCTTCGGGATCTTTTAACTTCCAAGAAATTCTAAGCTTTCCTGACGTTTTTGATGCTTCCCTGAAGTTATTGCCTCAAAGTTTTCCAAACTTTCCTAAAGTTCTTTAGGCTACCCTGAATTTTTAAGAACTTTATGAAGATCACTTATTTATTTATTGAAGTTAATTAAACTGCCTTGATATTCTTTGATATCACCAAAATTTTCTTGATGTTTCCGAAACTTATTGAAGCTCACAGAACATGTTTTAAAGTCAGACATCTTCCCTAAGCTTCCTAGCAAACAATTGAGTAGGCTAAATTCTGAATAATACTGCTGCATAAGACAGATCTGCAGCCTAAAGTCCTCCCTAAAGTTTTCGGTACTACTTCGGAATTTGCCAGGGAATTCTAGGAACTTTCATAATGTTCCGCCAATTTTCCAGATATTAGTGGAAATTCCCGGAAGACTCCACCTGAATTTCCCGGAACTTATTCGGAAGCTTGTCAACATTTTCCTGAAATTCATGGAACTGTTTACATAGCATTTAAATTCCCCTAAAGTCTGGACTTTTTTTTAGTTCTCGGAATATCCTTGAAATGATTGGAACTGCCTTTAAGATCTCTGAACTTCCTTGAAGGTCTCAAAACCAAGCTTTCCTATGCTTCGTGGAACTTCTTCAAAGTTTTTTACAATTTTCTTTAAGTTCTCTGAATATCTCTGGCTGTTGTCCAAATTTGCATGAAGTTCTCAGATTGTTTGAAGCTACTGCAGTTTTTCGGAAGCTAATGCAACCCTCTGGAAGCTCTTGAAGTTTTCTAGAAGTGACCGAAACATTTCCAGAAGTAGGATTGGTTGGATGTACCACTGTGTTTGGTGGATTTTGAGTAGTGGCAGTTTGCCAAGTCCGCCCAGAATAGGCAATCCACCTCATGCTGCTTTTTTTTGATTTTACATTCTTCCGGGGCACTCTTCCGGTCAACCGAGGTATAACATTCCTGCCCAGGAATTTGATCGAAATCCGCCAGGAGCGGATGGAAAAAGATATTCTTTTGGAGCGTGCAGGATCGAATCGTGAAGCCATGATGTAAATAAATGAACTTGTCCTGACAACCACTGCCTACTGTGATTCTATACACTCTTAGCTTGATTCAGTAAATTTTTGGAAATTTTTATCGAGTTTGCTTCGGGGATACCGAATTTATCACAAAATTTCGTTTTCAACCTTTAAATAGCTCTGCTCTTCTCTGAAACTGTTGAAACTTTTTGAAGACTCTAATCTTTACAGAAGTTCTAGTTCTCAAAGAATACCTTAATGGCAGCATTTTTAATGTGTCTGGATTTTTTCGTGTTAGGAACGAACACCCCTCGAACAGAAGTAGGGCATTTCGATGATAAGTGCAGCTTCGAATGCGCTACTTACTCACACGCATACAAGTAAGGAACAATCATCTTGTCCAACAATTAGGCTAAGCTCTAGATTTATCGTGGATAGATATAATTTTAGTATAAAATAAATATAAGTTTTACATTTAAGTTACTTTAAGTTCAAATCCTCGTCAAATTAGATACCGACTGCTAACGGGTGTTCAATAGAAATTGAGAATTTTTTCAGCTAGTGAAACAAATTTTTTTTTTCAACGAATTCAGTATTTTTTTATTAAAAAGATAATGTTTATTCTTCAAAAAAAAAAAAAACGTCAATGAATATTGGAGCAGGGGCCCTGGTCAGCCGTACGATGCAGCTTAGTCGCGATCGAGGGGCACGCACTAGTCTTTCAATACTACGCAGCCTACTGACCAAATATTTAAAATCTTGTCATCACTGCTTTCATTACTTTAAATACACTCTAAATTTCATTAAATACTTTAAATACTGACAATATTTGATACTTAAATTATTTTCAAAACATTTAAATTATTTGCCATTACATTAATTATCGTTAATTATATGTTGATTACTTTCAATACCGCTAAAAGTATTTAAAATCAAATAATTACTGTCCTCAAAGTATTTTAATTACTACGATGTATTTTAAATATCACGCACTCATACCTGGTAGTGCACGTCTCTCGGTCGCGATGCTCTCACAAGAGCGCTGGACGGCACTAAAATCATTCTCATTTTTTATTGAACACCCGTTACTCACTTCTATAGCCTATTGTTGGACAAGATGATTGTTCCTTACTTGTATGCGTGTGAGTAAGTAGCGCATTTGAAGCTGCACTTATCATCGAAATGCCCTACTTCTGTTCGAGAGGTGTTCGTTCCTAACATTCCCCCCCTCGTGTCGCCAGAACTATCGTTTCGGCGTCACAGCTCGGATCTACGTCTAGCACGGCTAGTTTGACGACT